AACAAAAATAGTTTTAGCTACAACTAGACTATGGACATTTATGCATTTCACTTTCTTCAGGCTATTATATGAATATAAAAATTAAAAAATGGTTTATTTCACTAATTTAGATATCCATTACGTTAAATTCGAAATAAAGAACTGCATATAATCCGTAATCTAGCTATAATATCTTCCTACCATATTTTCTTCCTTTGTCGTCACAATCTATAGCCTCGGAAACATACCATCAACAGGTATAATAAAAATGGTCATAATATTATTATTTACTGTTATTATCATTAAAGAAATATTTATTTTTATCATCTTCAAATATTTTTTTATACCACAACCATTCATGTAAACTACTCGATGCATACAAAAAAGTGTGTTCATTTTCGATGCTTTTGACCATCACTGTAATTCCTGCAACATTTCATTGTCATCACGGATCGGATCTCACGAGTGATCTTTTCCGTTTCGTATAAAATTAAAAAATCTCATGTCGTGTAACGAAAACGAGCGTTACACGTTGGAATGTCGAGTATTCACAGGCATTCAGTATGTAACCGATTTCTCCGTGTCGTTTCTGTTTCCAATTGGATCCGTTTATAAAAAGAAGAGTCCAGTCTCCTAAACTGTATTTCGAAACCACGCCGGGACGGTATACGGGGAATTGTTTCATCGTTCGTTTCTGTCTCACAGACGCGAATTACTCGTTCGTCACCGGATAATACGAGGATAGAAAAAAGTCACGACGAACATCAACATGAAAACATTAAAGACAACAACAAGGGGAGGGGGGGGTAAAAATATCGACGCAAGATTTGAACGAACATTCGATTTCTGTCGCTTCAACCTTTGTTTCGTCGGAGTGTCACCCTTTTATTCTTCATTCGCGATTAGACTTCAAATGTACTGTAATGTCAAATGTACCGATGAGTAATCCACTGTTCTCTACCGAATTTAGTAATCATTTAAAGAAAAAAATCAAACACTGATGTTACTCTAATAGTTACAACAATTCGTCATTGTTTTTCAACATCCAACTCCATATTTACCTGAAAAGAGCCAACAAGATATTTCGACAAGGTGGACGTTGAAAATCGTGTCGAGAGCATTGCAATTAATTCTAATGCAATTGTCAATTGGTTCTTGATATCGAATTTGTTAGCATTTTTAGATTGTCCGCAGAATAAGCCACCAGTGATTACTATCTTGTTGTTCCCCTTTCCAACATTGTTAAAACTCTACGGACAATAAACCGATATTTACGTTTAGTGTGAACTGTCAGCATAACCGATGCAGTCATTGTGTAAATTTATATAAATTATATATCCAACAAACGGTATCCATGGAGTTGTTAAATTTATATACGTGCTCGGCAAAAATCATTGAAGTTTCTCATATATTTATATGTGTATTTGGCAAATCGTTAGTTTGTGTTTTCAAAGGAAGTGAAAATCATAAGTGTCTTGTAATGGATATCCAGGGGCCAATGGTTCCAGAATTAATTAGTACACTGGCGCGAAAAAAATGGAAACGCTATGTAGTAAACTTCAATATGACAATTTTTAATGGCGAAGCCATGGCAAGTGACAGTTCTGTGGGTGGCTTCATGTGTATATCATCATCACAGTCGCACGTATAATTTTTACCATTTTTGCCCTTTTTTTTCATTTCTGCCACTTTTGCCATTTTTATCATTTTTCCAATTTATAATTACATCCAGTGTCATTTTAAATAATGATCCCTTACGCTATTTCATTTCGAAAAAAGTAGTGAATTACTCATTGATATAATTCATTTTTACTCGATCACGCTATTTGTGAACGCTGTCGGTGAGAACGTGCGATCCTTCGATCAAGATGTTTCGAGTTTGTCTTTCGGACCGTTCAGAAGTTAAAATTATGCACCACGTGTGTCGTTTTACCATGTAGGTACTTGTTTTAACGACTTTAATACCCGATATACGCATTATCTATCGTTATTAACCGATGATAGATAACAATTAGTTGTAATAAGAAAATCCAGCGATATGATAGGTAGATCGGTCTCGTCGCTGCCACGTATAAAACTTCTATCGACTCGCTCATCCCTCGTTCATATACCGCATGATCGTTCGATCTACCGTCGAGAACAAATTGAACGATCACGGTCGGTGATTCGCGAAAGGAGAGACCGCACGGAACTAAAAACACGAAGGTTCCTTTCAACGGGTAATAGGCGTGATTTTCGGTAATTGGTATTGACATTTCGTTCGGTAAACAAACGTGAAGTTCGATCGAAGAACTAGTTAATATATCCCAGAAAAATAGTTTTATACGTCGCAACATGCAATTTGGCTCTACGATTCTCCCTCCCGATACCGCGTTCGATGCTACGACGACATTCGATTCTCGTATATATTAATTTCTGTGGTTCAAGGCACAGATGTTATAAAAATTATTGATTTTCATTTAACAATCATAATTATTGCTTCAACATCATTTGATAACTTAATTAGAATACTTGGTTTTTAATCTCCAATCGAAACAAGTTGGTAAAATGTACTGTATTTATTTTTAAATTTATTATTCAACATGCTCCATGCTTTCCAAAATTTTAGGTCCACTTCTTTCTCTTATGTTCGAAGAAAAATTTTTTCACGTCGCTTTTATGCAATGTGCAATATTCCTTTATTAAAATCCCAAGTGTGTACTTCTTTCAGTGACTTACATCTTGTATACATTTTTATTTCAAACGACATGTGATCAATCAGATTACACCTGCCAAGCTAAACATTATTATGACAAAAAGAATCTTTTATACACATTAATATTCGTCGCTTTAATTTGTATTGTATATCCTTTAATTGTCCGGAAATCGTTTGGTTCGAATAATCGCGAAATCTTCATACTCTGAAACTGAAATTCCTTCTCATTTTAAATACGCTTTAATAATTTACTTTCTCTTACACTCGACAGAAAACTATTCTTGATTCCACGAATTTGAAATTTTTAATTCATCACGTAATCGATTGAGAATTATAGATATTTTAATTTATTCAGAACGCACAAAATCTTCGTCTGTAACAGACAATCATAAACATCGTTTCCCACCGAAATCAACGTAACATCGTACGTCATCGTCGAGAGAGATATCGCGTTTTGGCACCAAAAACCTTGACCTTAAAGGTCATTCATCGAACCAGATCACGGCGATCCGATGAACGCAAAGGGCAACTCCCTCGGTCCGTGACATGGAACAGCGATGTGTAAAAAGTGTGTCGTCCCACAAGAAAAACGCCGCTCTTTCGTTCTCTCCCGGTTCGGATCGGCGTGAACTGGCAGTGATAGGTACTTAATAATACGTTTATACGTTTAACCTATTACTCACGTACTCCTCTCACTCAATCATTCATTCACGATTCAGCTTTTCATCTCACACATCTTTCATTGAACGTTTATACGTATATATACACACGTATATATATATACGCACTGCGATTGGTTGTCAACGTTACCGCAGGAACTCGGCCGGTAGACTCGCGCTCTGATTGGTCGGCGTTTTTCGTTAATATCTCGTTAACAGAGCCTTAGATAACATTTTTACTAAGGAAAAACTTGTCTCAAATCACCTCACGAGTCAACCATTTCCGGGCCCTTCAACATTTTTGTTACACCCGGTATATATATATATATATATTATTTATCACACACGCAGTACTCATGCATCGATGCGATTATACACCATTGTCAGTTAAAAAACGTATCGCGGGTCCACCGTGCCCATTTCTTACCATTCGCGCAAAAGATCCCATTCTCGCCGAGAACCACAAAATAGTTGCACCGGTATACAATGATCATTGTAACGAACCGTGATCCATAATGAAACCCAGCAATAATAGTAATCAGAATAATGGTAATCGTTAATAGTAGTCCGGATTCTTCACAATCGGTTCTCCTTCTGTCAGAATCTCTTTATCGTTCCCCGTTTCTTCTATCTTCGGTTTAGTTCACTTCCGGCCGACGTGCAATTTCCCTCACATAATATGTATATATATATATATATGTACGTGTCCCTGTGTGCATGAATGTGTGTGTATCTATAGTGCGTGTAAGTGTCTCACTGGTGTGTACGGGTATTCGTTCTCATGGAAAAAATGGCAGTTATTAAAGTGTTCGTTCGAGCTGCTGGTTGCACATGCACCCACCCCAGGACCATCGGAATTTTACTATCGGATGTCGCGGCCAGGTTCGTCGCGTATGTAGCCGGTGTGTTCGTTTTTCTCTATTCCATCTGCTTTTGATTCGATTACAGTTATATACAATGTACAAACGCGGCCGGGCGGCGAGGATTCTCGAATCACCGGATCGCTCCCGTCGCCATCGAAAGCCCGAAAGCGTCCCTGTATCCAGCGCGACGCAGTTACCGAACGCCCTCGTCACGCCCCACCGCCCTGACACGCCCACTCGTGATCTCCAAGCGATTTCTCGGTCTTCCAGGTTCCCTACCAATAGAATAATGATCAAAACAAGAATTCCATCATTCACGATTCACTCGATCGTATCCTGTGATCTTTTCGCCATCGAGCACGCAGGAACTTCAAAACCGGTGAATGGAACGAAACTCTCGCCTCGATCTTGCTTTCCGAGATTCTGTTAAGAACGCCCAGAAGTGCCGAGAAAAACAGCGTGACTGGCAGGTATTCGACTGACGGCAAACGCGTTCTGCCAGGATTGCAGATCGGCCCCGGAGGCGACCCCCAAGGAGGGGTTGGCTTTCGCGTGGTTCGTCGCGCAACGAGTTTATATCACGTATTCCGGCTTGTCGTCGCCGATACGGCCGGTCCAGACCCGTGGAGATGCCGGCGTCCACGGCACCGCGATGTCGAGCATCATGTTGCTCGGGCGACGCTGGAAAGGCGAGAACCTGATCCTCTTCGGGCTCTTCGGCGGAGACTCTGCGAATGTGACGCTTCGTCGCGGTCTCCTAGGTGGCGGTGGCGGCGGCGCGGGCAGCGCCGCCAACGTGGGCGGTGGTGGTGGTGCGGGCAGGGAAATGGCGGGCGACTCGCCGGGCGAATCCAAGTAATTTACACCTGGGTATGCGTATTGCTGTGTACCTGGTCGCCCTCGGTGTTGCCAATCGTGTTTGCCGGAGCGTAGTACTGGAAATTCAACGGAGGTTGCGTTTAGCTGCGTGACTCGCCGGATAAACCGTTTTATGGAGACTCGGGGTTATGGGTGGATGGTTAGGGGGGGGGGTGGTGGTTTCCGCGTGGAGAGTGTTGACTCACATGGTGAATGTTTATGCAAATTGGGTCGATATGAATGAAGGGACTTTGTGTACATACTTATTGTTAATAGAATAGGTGTTATTATGTAGATTTTGGTATGTGTAATTGGTTAGGTTATTTTATGATTATTTCTTCTGGTGCACGGAGGTGAGTTTCTAGGATCTTTTTGTAGAATTAACTGTGCTTTTAATACACTAAGGATTTTGGAGAGAAGATATTTGATTTACCATTGAAAACAATTAAATGTGTTATTGGGACGACACTTTTATGTTTTAATGTTCTAAATATATCGTAACTTTGATATGTGCGACATTGTATTTTTTCGTACATAACTTGCAAAATGACAAGTCATGCAACTGTTCCTTGTATTAAAGAGCTGTTCTCGGCAATATTTTTTAGATACTAACTATTAATTATTTTATGTTAATATATAAATTACATGTCCAGCTAAACATTACAGAAAGATTGTTTGCTTCTTTATCTGAAATTAAAACTGAAGAAAATACAGATCTTATAATATTACTTTCATTTATTTCGTAAAATTTGTTTCTGTGCGACTTATACGAAATTATACGAATCAAATGTCATGATGTGTCATACAAATGAAATGACAACTTTGCTTATTTCCTAAAGAATTAGTATCCTGACAATTCTGCTTTACAACACAGTTTTAAAAATATTTAACAGTATTATCCCATACGATTTGTCGCACATTCGGTTAGCTTGCATAAACATCCGCCAATTGATAGTCATAGTTGTTACAGGTCATTTCTACGCGTTCCAAAAAGAGTGTGTAACAAACCAATGACAGGAATGAATAATAGAATCGCATATATCATAAAAGAAGTGTGAAGAGTAATTGTGCCTTTATGTGCTTTTCAAATATCTTGAAAAAATTCGAATGCCTTTCATGTTACCTTCTATTCGACAAGTGTAATCGGACGATTACAAGTTTCAGTCGTGAAAATCTTACGACAGAGGTGCACAAAATTCGTCTCTCCATTTATACTACATCCTGTCCATTGTGCAATATACTCGGTTCCAGTTTTCAAAGTCAGAAATGACCAAAAGGAAAATCGTGTGTCTCTGATTTAAAAAGAACGCGACGAAAGAGATTTTTTATTTCGCATGCTGTTCGCGTAATCGTAAGCAATTTGATCATTAAAAGCAACATGTGACAACATCTCGGTTACACGAGCCGCTAACAGATGGTCTCAAGCCATGCACATTTTGCGCTAGTAAGCTAGCCTCTCATGGTGACTAAAAATATTTAAGTGAACCATTGAAGAACTGAAAGAGAATGTAGGATATCTGTTCATTAAGTGTAAATTAATGTGAAGAATTAAAATGCTTTTTTCAGCCAAGTTGACTTCCTAATATAAAATGGCAATGGGTTCTTCCTAATATAGAAATACAATATGGTAATATAGTATGGCGAACTGCAATCACCTGTAACGTTGTTTCTCTTAAGGAATGTCGATTACAATATATAAATTATCATTAGGAATATTATTATAAATTCATTAAACATATAAAGTAAATTATTAACATAGATATTTCGGAGCATGGTATAGGATGAATGTGAAAGTGTAATGATTGTGAGGAAACGTGAAATAATGAACTCGTCGTGGTCGATGATTATGACGACGGAGAATTTATCACTAAACTGCAGATGTTTAAGTGACAGTAAAACGAACATTTTCTTACGATTTAATGCTACTTAAAACAAAATTCTGTTGAATTTTGCCTTTTATATATTAACGTTTAAATCTATGAATTTGAATAAACATCCACAGTCCAATTGTGATATAAACAGATTCGATAACCCATGATTGGCTCATACTTTGGATGTTACGCTTTTGTACAGTGTTCATTATATGAATGCATATTTTCAATCTTACCCGTACCACGAAACATAAGTTTCGTCTTCCTGAAGTAAAATCTAGTACAGAAAAATTTTATTCAATGTCTTCAATTTATTGTCACAAGTAAAATGAATTTATTCGTGATTTGGTAGGTAAGGTTAGTCTAATGGTGTAGCTGTGTCATTTGTTAGACACTTCGAGTGTTCCATAGATGATTAGATAGTGTAAGTAGTATAAAGTTGTATGTGGCCAGACAGAAAGTATACGCTATCCTTCGTAAGTATTAGGCCACTTGGTCTGTATAAAGAAAATGTGATGTTTCGTAAAAATAATATATTCGATAAACCACTTTTATTACTTTATTGTAGCAAACAAAGCTCGGTAAAATTTGAAGAACAAATATTTCAAGTACTATTTTAAATACCATTTGAAAAATTTTTTCTACAAAAAAAAGATTTTTTTTTCAAACGTATATGCATGATATAAAATAAAATGGAGTATTTACTCTTTACTATTTGAAATAGTATTTTACGCAGCTCTTGTAGCACAAACGTTGCCTAATGAGCTTTAGTATCCTTTAAACAATATTTATTTCAGACATTCAGCAATTTCATAATGCCTTGCAACAGTTACTGTGCATTCAATAAATGTTCTAATACTTATGAGCGGGAGTATAGGTCAATTCCTAGTAAATCAAGTATAATACCCTGCTCGTCAGATTTATAAAACACCCAAAAATTTTTCAAGTTCAGTATCTTCCATGTATTTCTCGTACATGAAAACATTCCCAGATAGCACTGTACATCCAAAGGACGTTCGTTTAATGTTCAGTTTATATCCGAATATCCTACGTCCATTTTAAACATTTTTAGGATGTTCGTCGGACTTACATTGTCGGATGTTCTAGAAACATCCGTCCCAAAAGTCCTACGGATGTTCTCAAGACTTAAATTTCATTTATTCTATTAATGCCCATTTTTGAGTCTTACGAATGTTTTTGGGACTTTTTTTTTCTTAGCTTTTATTTAAAGTCGCTTAAACGCCTTGGATTTTAGCGACTACAAGGTCTATTATGCTATTCTAGTCATTAATTTTGTTTCCTTTAGGTATTCATGAAATTTTTTATTTTATCTCCTGTAAGGTTGTCTTTTAGTGTTGGGTAGATTTTGAAGTGCCTGCGCTGGTTACTGTGTTCTGTGCAGTGTAGGAGTAGATGCTGTATTGTAATTGTTACGTTGCAAAGGGTACAGATAGGTGTTGGTTTTTTGAAAATATATGTGAGTGGGTAGCTTTCGAGTGGCCGATTATGATCCTGAATATAGCCACCTATTCTATCCTTGTTAATTTACAACGGTCTTTGTGGATCTTGAATGAGTTGTCTGAGAAATTTCTAACGTGTGCTGTACCACTCTGTTTCCCATTTCTTCATCAGTTTTTGTTTGGTGTCATTTATTAGGTCGTCGAAGGACAAACTTGTCCATATGTCTGTATTTGCGTCCTTCTCTTGCTTCTTGGTCGGCTTTTTCCTTTTCTGTAATTCCTGTGTGTGAGGGGATCCATATTAATATTGTTCTTTTCCCGTTTTGTACTACTTTTGTGTGAGTTTCCAAGATTTGTTGGATGATGGTGTTGGTGGTAGTTGTATTGTTTATGGAAAATATTACTACATTCTGGTATTTTTCTTCTTCGGCGATGGTTATTGTATGGTTAATTGCCATGAGTTCTGCCGTTCGTGGGGTGATTTACGCATAGTCCGTATCTAGTTATTTGTTCGTCAGTTAGACTGGTGAGTATTTTAAGATTCGTGTTGGCTTTTCGATACATCAAGAGGTCCACGTTGGTTTGTTTTTTTCGTGATGTCCATGGTGCGAGCTTCAGTAATCTTCTGCAGTTGGTATTAGAAAGTCTGGTGTATAGATGCTGTTCTATGTTATACAGGGTGTAACAAAAATGTCCGACCCGGAAATGGGGCACTCGAGGGGTGAATTGGAACAAGTTTTTCCTTAGCAACCACATCACTAGCTTTATGACATTGTTACTATACCTACGTGTACATAACTTTGTTCGAATGCACATTTTCACGCATTTACTTGTTAACACAAAACTTCAGGTCGTCGGTCAATTTTATTATTGAAGGAATAGTCAAGTAGAGAATCGGCAAGAAAAGGCACAGCAGTCATCCCCTCTACTTACTGTTCCTTCGGTGATTAAATTACCCAGTTACCTGAAGCTCCGTTTTGAAGGTAAATGTACGAAAAAAAGAAAACTCCCGTCCACCGTTTAGTTAGATTTATAAAAATACTTCGTTTATCCGGAATTATATGAAATTCTTGTCGGATCGGGACATGCCTTGACACCGACTTAATACAATGGAAGTAAGTAGTAATATTTATAATAATTTATAATATTTTCGTAAATAAAGTATATACAGGGTGATTCTCACGCAGCACAAAATGGAAGGCCGTGCCTCTCGAAACAACTGCGCTATTAAAATCGTGTCGACGCATGTAAATCTATCAACAATATCGCCCCTGTACCATCGACTGTGAGGGCCCGTTTACCGAGATACACGTGCCACACGATTTTCTACAATGCGCTTCAGAATGGTCGTGTTCGGCTTGACCTTGTACGAAGTCGTTAGCTGCGCGTCGAGCCATTAAAATCGACCCTTTCAAGTGTGTTCTGCAACGCGCTTTGCACAAGTGTGGGTCTGCCTTTACACACCTGTCTGTTACCACACACACTATTAATGTCAAATCAGGTAAAAAAACGAACGAGAAACGTGAGTGTTTTTTAATCCTGATGAGACCAAAAATTACAAATACACTGTTAATTAATATATAAAATTAGCAACATGAATTTTGTTAACAAAAGCGCCGTTTTTATTAATAATTTAACAAATCACAATGTTTTCATTTACGAGAAATAAATGAACGTGAAAAATTTTCGGGTGTCGTATAAACCTGACGAGCAGTAGGCCAGATCTAAATTAAATACACCTTTACCGACACAAATAATATTAGTAAAGTGTCACAAGATATATCTACCAAAGGCGAATTTACTTTTTCATGATTTATCAAAGAAACCAAGGTAGAAAGATATACTTTTTCGGAATTTTATATACATCCACGTTAGTACTGCTGCACGAGGTACAAACTCATGAAGTCACATCTTTATTTCGACCAATCATGATTTCCTTCACCAACAACGTCTTCTCGCTCCGGATCATCATGATCGACAACGGACCTGAACAGATTCGATCAATCGACCACACCCCGCATTCGTGAAACCAAGGATGAACTGTCTGATTTGTGTGCAGAAACGCTACGTAAAGCCACATTCACAAGAAGCGGGGAATAAAGAATGATATCTAACAGGTGTGATACAGAAGGTGGGAATTAAAATTAAGGACGAGAGTACTCACATATGGTCCCGGGAAAGGCGCATGCATCCTCCGTCTAACTCTGCAGTCCGTACCACTAGAGACAAAAATAAAAATAGAACAAAACCGCGCGAACGAGCAAATACGTCTTCTGCATCCATCGAGTACAAAGAGAGAAATATGGAGAGAGAGAGAGAGAGAGAGAGGGAGAAAGAGAGAGATAGAGAGAGAGAGAGAAAGTCAGAGAGAGGGAGAGAGAGAAAGAAAGAGAGAGAGTGATACAGAAGAGGTAGGGAGATCGAGATAGAAAATAGCGCAACACATCCAGCCAGCCGCACATCGCACGCATGTTATGTATATATGTATATTTATATGTATATATCCAGGGTGTCATGTACCTGGTGGTATATTTTGAGACTTCGTGTTCGAGGAAATAGACTTTGACAATCTGCTAGAAACACATTCAATTAAATACAACTTGATGAATATATACTATGATGGACCTTAGCGATACCTGGTAAAAAATTTTTTGCGGGATTCTTTTCACGCCACGCCCTGAAATTGTTCCATTGGGTAGGATAATAATTGCTGTAGAAGATGAAATTGATTGGATAACAGGGCGATGTGGCACATCCACGTTGAAGTTTGAAATAAATATGACATTTGGTCTGAACGGAAATATGTGAAGAAAAGACATTAATTATGCTTAAACCTTCATCTTGTGCACAGTATTGGCAATAATAGTGCCACAATATAATTTTTTTAATAGAGTAGTTAAGTAATAGTTATGGTTTTTTTAATTATCTATGTTAAATATTATATTTTGCGTATTTTACTGAAAGTACCAATTCTTTCATTTATTTCCTTATATTATTTGTAAATTAGTAATAATATTAATTTAAAAACTTGATAAGCGAATGTTCGACATTAATATTTCATATTTAACAATAATATCCATATGTTTAACTTGAAGTGGTGAATATTAGAAAAAAATACGGTTATTGTGTTTCAACACTCTTTAATAGACGCAAAACAATTGTAAAAACGAATTACAAATTTTTCATTAAAGTATATCTATAATCTGATACAATTTGAATTATAAATTTTTCTCCTGTTCATTAGTGCATAGTGCATCATTAAACTCTGGCATGGGTTTGACTCCCCGTTCTGTCGAATCATTAACTCCAGCTAAATTACGTAATATATTTAAGCCAACATTATAATTAGGATCCATTGGCCAGTCTGCAGGGTCCTTATTTATAAAATCTATAAAAATTGAAGACATCCATATAAGACTCCAACAGATTTTCGATTAATTCTTCTTCATCTTCAGACGATGATGATGGTAACTTCGCTGTTTCTTCTTAATTAAATGATGCATATAAAAACATGACACTAAAGAAACGTAATATCGGATAACACAATTTACACAACTATTTAAAAATATATTGTAAACTTGCTTAATATTTCTCACGTCTCAACTGTTCTTTTTCTTGACGAAGTGTTTGTCGTCTTTCCTTCTCTAATAAGACGCGGTCGCCTTTATAAAATCCGGGTTGTCCTTTTTTCCTTTGATCTATAAGGAACGCTTTATTTATTTCAATACTCATCATGCCCAAAGCATGATCATGAGAAATGTCGAAAAGATGGTCTAATTTTTGAAGAAAATCATGTTCTCGTTTTTCCTGCAATAGTGTTCGGCGTTTTCATGTTTTCTGCATTGTCTTCTACGGACAAAGCATTGTCTTCCTGGTACAATGCTTCCACTTTTTCGATGCTCCGATCTAATTTCCGTGTTGGAATACGAGCTTTCTCCCATAGAACCACGACTTCTTTCATAACCAGGTGAGCACTTGGGCGAAGATTTAATTTTACTTTCCGCAGATTGTAAAATAACACGTATAAGACGCGTCCATTAGATGGCAACTTAGCACCAATGATTTGACTTTCGTCATGGTTGAGAAGATAGAAATTTCCTCTTCCTCTGGTTTCAATTTTCGATTTGAATTTTCACAGTTATTGTCACGATCACGCTGTATTGTTCTCTCTGAACGCCTAGAATAAACTAACTGAATCGGTATTACTGTAAGGGCTTCTAGGTTAGGCGCCTGCCCTTTACTAAACAGTATTTCCTTCTGCACAGATAGGAACCTAACAGCTCCAGATTCAGGGCTTTTGAGGGGTTCGATTATTATACCCGGACAGCTGTGATTGCATTTTCAAGGCTAAGGATTGATTCACACAAAACTCTATAACGTACAGCTTGCAGTCAATGTCGAAGGCTGTATCTCATATTGCGGTGTTGCTGGGGGCTAGTTAATGAGAAATATTCTTAATTCATACAAATTAAATTTGTGTTATAATATACATATGGACAAAACTAAATACTAAATAAGTAAAGAATTATGCTATTCACGGAAATATAAAATATTCCACTTAAATTTTCAGAAACACACTACTCATTACATTTAGCGTGCAGTTACATCTATTTCAAAGCTTCGCATTCGATGTGCCACGTCTTCCTGACGTCCAATTGATCTGAAATTTGGTATACATTATTTTTTCCTGAAATGGAACAATTTCAGGGGGCGGCGTGCTAGAAATTACATAATTGAAAAATAAGGTCCACCTTAATATACACGTTTCGAATACAGTTTCAAAGTACTATTTTCGAAAACGAGATGTCAAAAAACTTTATTCCATATTGTCGACTTATTTTTTTCCGTAGAATCCTTTTCTACCCGCTTGTACCATCAATTACACGACAGCCTGTATATATACTCTCTATATTCATATCCACCTATAACACGACATGGTTGACAACAATCATTGATCGTCCCCCGATTGATCGTGTGTCCTCGAGAACCCCATCCTATTCACGAAATTCTCGATTATCCATTTACAATGTACGTCGGTTGTTACAATTTGCTAACTGCATGCTATACGTACTCTATTGTGCGTTTCTATGTATACGCACGCGCGCGCGTGCTTGCGTGCGTGCGTGCGCATGTGTATGTGTGTGTGTGTGTCTGTCTGTGTATGTGTGTGTGTTTCAAATCATCCCAGGAACCCCTCATTTCCGGGAAGAGAGACATTCTTGAGACACAAATGTAACAAAAATGTTGCTCGACCCGGAAATGTGCCACTCGGGGGGTGAATTGGAACAACTTTTTCCTTAGCGAAAATGTAATCTGAGGCTTCGTTACCGAGATATTAACGAAAAACCGGGACCAATCAGAGCGCGAGTTTACCAGTCGAGTTCCCGCGCTAGCGGTGGCTACGCGCTGCGCTCGTACTATGGAGCTCCGAACAAGCAAGTCAGCATACATCGCAGGAAACTGCGTATGATAGCAGATAAAAAAAACGTAACAAATAAAGTCATACCTTTTATCATCTGTGGATTGTTATTTAAAGAGATTAATGAATGAAGCATAAATGTAGGAAAATTATGTGTAACGTAAAAAGACAATGCACATTTACTTTTTTAAACAGAATGGAAACTAATAATTATTTGTAGAGAGGGGCTAAGGAATTTGTAAATTTCCTATTCAAATAACGTATTAACGAAAAAGTAATGTAACAGAGAAGGACCGAGAAGTGATCGTAGTTCGGTATTGGCATCAAAATTCGTAGTTTCATAACAGGCAACAATGTTACTGACAATGAATAAGTTTCTTCAAAAAGCTTGAAAAAAATTTAGGTACAGAGATTTGCAGAATTATTGAAATAAGTCACAGCTTGCGTTTCGCATGAAATTTTTTTCGGGCTCTTTGAAGAAACTTATTCATTGTCAGTAACATTGTTGCCCGTTATTATACTACGAATATTTATGCCAATACCGAACTACGATCACTTCTCGTTCATTCTCTGTTACATTACCTTTTCGTTAATACATTATTTGAATAGCAAATTTACAAATTCTTTAGCCCCTCTCTACAAATAATTATTAGTTTTGCATTCTGTTTAAAAAAGTAAATGTGCATTGTCTTTTTACGTTACACATAATTTTCCTACATTTGTGCTTCATTCATTAATCTCTTTAAATAACAGTCCACAGATGATGAAAAGTATGATTTTATTTGTTACGTTTTTTTTATTTGCTATCATACGCAGCTTCCTGCGATGTATGCCGACTTGCTTGTTCGGAGCTCCATAGTACAAGCGCAGCGCGTAACCACCGCTAGCGCGGGAACTCGGCTGGTAAACTCGCGCTCTGATTGGTCCCGGTTTTTCGTTAATATCTCGGTAACGAAGCCTCAGATTACATTTTCGCTAAGGAAAAAGTTGTTCCAATTCACCCCCCGAGTGGCCCATTTCCGGGTCGAGCAACATTTTTGTTACACCCTGTATATATGTATGGGCCCTGTAGTACACGGATATGTAAAACGCACCTTTGGTCTCCGGTTACGGTTCTATGTTACACGATACATCGAGACCAATTGGCTCCAGACAGGCGAGCAGTAAAAATGTTCCAGAAAAAATCTAGGAACTGACGAATCGCCGAGCGACTTACCCGGCCATTGTCGAAATCTCGACCACCGCCAATCGTTAGTCGGGCTTTCGCTTTCATCGCGTCTGATAGTGGTATCTGAAAGGGCAAACGTTTTGTTTTAGTACAGTAGAACCTCTGTTGTCTGAGAAAATAGGAGAAAAAGTTACAGGATTATTAAATAGATTTTCTGTTCAATATAATACAACAACAGCTTTATTTATTTTAAACTTGCTACCCTCTTTTAATTGTACATGTTCTGACTCTTATGATTTTTATGACCAACAAGCTTTCTGTTGACAAATTTTGAGATTCCATACTTTATTATTTCAAATAGGAATATTCTGATTTTAAATACTAACATTTGGTAGTTCATATAAGTTTGAACTTTTAACACAAATATCTGACTTGGTAAGAAATAAATCGTTCCGATAGTCAAGTATTCTATTCATAATAGTTTGTAGGATATAATGAAATCGTTATAGCATATACTAAGGAGATTGCGTAGTCCCATATTGAAAACGAGAACAGAATTGACAGTCTGAGATAATTTTGTCTACTCTAAATAATGTGTGGCCAAGTACCTATTTTTTTATCCCTTAGCTTCCTTTTTCCAAGTTTGTAAATTTACCTAAAGAATTTACATAAAAAGGATAATTCTACAGTGACGGTCAGTCAATAATTTCTATCCCAATTATAGATGCTGTATTGAATGTATTCGAATCGTATCAATGACATTGTGCGTCCTATATTATTTTGTCTAATCTACTGAATTAAACATTTGTCCACAGGTTCGACCACTTTAATTTGAGAATTGTATTTTATAACGAATACAATACAGTATAATATGAACATTTTCTACCTTCGCTCTGGTAGCTTCCGTGTGAGATTTATAGCAGAATTCCAGTAGTGCAACAGTCAACGCTAACAGGAGGCCTCCAATGAGGATGTAGAATATCCCCGCCACGTTGCTGAGGGACAATTCGTTCCTGGAGGCATCCTGTTTGTCACCGTGCCTGCATTCGGTTCTGTCGTACCACCATCGGTTCACCAGCTTCGTTAATTCCCCGTTCTCCTTTAGCGATAATACCGCTAGATTTATTGGGTCTCTGTAATATTTCAAAAATTATTTTAATCTTTAATTCTTAGCAACAAGAACGAAACGAATATTTATTTACTCCATATTCAGTTTTTTGCTGTATCGAATTTTAAACAATCAAATATACTCTAAATGTGTAAAATCTGAAGTCTAACAAATCAAATTAAAAGTCATCATTTAACACATTGATTGCCATGGTGGTCGCCGATGGTCGAAGCCATCGAGTTACATGAAGAAATATTCAATTTCTAAGCAGGAGCATTTAGCATCTCGTAAATATAATTAGTAGTAAAATAATAATAAACATAATGAGTGTTCAATAAACGCGTGAGTACTTATATCGTTAATAGCGAAGACAAGAACAAATGTATTTTATTATGATATTTTCCTAAGGATAACAACTGTGGCAGTCAACGTGTTAATTTTCCAACCACGATCACGCTAATTTTAAATTAACTATGTACAATATTAATATATGCTAAATAAAAAGTGCTTCATTTAGTATAATAAGTGTTCATAATTGGTTGCTAAAACCTGGAACAAAACCCAAGACAATGTATAAGATTGCACATTCTTCTTTTAAGTTATTATTATCATCATATAACTCTTTCATAGCCTTAAATATTTAGTGACTAGGATGACAATACAATTTCAGAAAAGAACGAAGAAGTTTATTAATGTGTGTAGCGAATGAAATTCATAGAAGCTGATTTCATTGCCATTAATCAATTGCTACTAAACAGTCTCAGTAAAATTCATACTAACATAAAATTAAGTACGGATTACGGTACATATAACGGATATGATATAATCGAAAGGGAAGCTTGAGAAAGAGAGTTTGAAGTTGTAGTCGAATCCGTAAGTAAAACGAGTCAACGGCAAGTCAGTCCCTTAAGCAGTAATGATACGGAAAACAGGGTACACCAGTTTTTCTATGCTGATTGACAATGAGTGTAATGGCGTATAGTGTTTGAATACGTGGAAGAGTAGGCGAGATCAAGGGAGCTTTAAGAGGTTTCTGTTGGGAAATGAAAAGATGGTCTACCTTTTAATGACTACAAAACCTGGTTAATTACGCAATCGTACGTGCCTCATCTCCTCATTCAATCTACATGGTACATTTATGCAAATTATGCGAATAAAACTTTTCGTATTCTCGCGGATTTGTTAGAAACTTCGGTTTCATACCTATTAATGTATAAATGTAAAATAGTGCCTTATTACAATGTTTCCAGAATTATTTTAACTTCAGTTAAAATTTATACAATTAAATACCAATTATTCATCTAGTAACACTAAGGAAACCATATATGAATTTTTCACATAATTTAACATTTATTAATCTAAATTTATAAATCTACAAGCATGTTACTAATGCATCTTTGACTATATATAATTCTGTAATAGAATATTCCCTAACATTACAACAAATGTATATATATATATATATAACATTCCTTTGATTATTTTAACATACTATATTAATTAAGTCTTAACTTACAACTACACTGTAAAAATTAGTAAGTAGGGCCAAAACGTCCTTATGAGAGATAATAATATATTCACGCAATGATGAATAATTTACGCAATTATTTGCAGGCAAATGTAGTACATCATAAATAAATACGACGTTTCTTGTAAAATAGGAAATTCTATCGTATGAGATAGAATGTAAAATTTTTATTTTAATTCCCTCTCCAACTCTCCGATATACAATCGTTCAATGCCGAGGTGCCTTCGAACACTCATTGAAGATTTACTGTGCTGCAATATTCGATAAATGTTCTAACACTTATAGCCAGTAGTGTATATTCATATGAACTTTTTCTATTATTTTTGTGTTCTGAAAATATCTCTGCAATATTTTCCATGTAGTACGAGACACAATGTATGCGTAAAATAAAAGATTGCAACTCACCTGAGGGGAGATCCCAGAGGCGTAGCGACGCCGAAACCCTTGGCATCGAGATTCCTGCCGACTTTCATAGTGTCGCAGGGCTCTCTCTCGTTTATATACTCGTTCTTCGGACTCTCAATCAGAAGAGCGTATTTACCTTTACTTGTTCTCACTCTTCGTATACCTTCGTCGTACGTTTTGACGAACACATGTTTCCGCGAGTTCATGAACTCCCACATTTTGCTGTACAGGTTGATTTGCGATTTCTGTGATCGAAAATAAAGAGGGATACGTTTAAGGAACTTAAACGATCGATAACGATGAAAATATGGTGGATTGTATTTTTATTGGGTGTTGTCCGTTATCACTCACGCGAAAAAAGTCCCATGTAGATCCGTGAGACAGCGTGCCGTATTGCACTTCCGTTTGGGAGGCGAGATCCTCCGGCGAGTTGATCGGCGCGACCATTCTTTCGACGGTCAAAAATGCGGCCAAGTTCGCGGTGTAAGAGGAGATTAATATAAGAGTGAAGAACCACCAGACGCTGCCAACTATTCTTCCCGATATTGATCTGTCGGACATGACAGTGATGAAAAGATTAAAATTTTTAATCATTTGAAAACTCAAGTCAGAAACTATGTGAGGGTATTCAATACTTTTATAGTAGCGCATTTAATATTTTTAAATTCATATCTAGACAGTGGTACAATTTTATGTATTTTACAGAATTTAATGAAGAGAACAGCCTCTAATACTTGAACTACCAGAATAGTTAAAACAGGGATTTCTTTTTAAAAAAGTAAAAATATCGCTCATTCGCTGCTATAATGATGTAACGAAAAATTTGCAGTTTTTGGGTTATTAGTACAGAAAATACGGTTGTTGTCTGCATTCTTTGTCGGATGAGTCCTGTAATGTGTGTGCTGTCACAAATTACCACGCCGCGCCGGAACGGTCACTTTAATATGATGTTCGTGCAGAATCATAACATTTTCCCTAAAATCTTGATTTTTTAGTTATGTCGTTATTGCAGCAAACAACCGATATGTATAACGATCAAATTTGTGAAATTTTGCTACACTTATAGCTGTAATAGAAACTCAATGGTATTGGTCGATAATGTATAAAAATCCATTTTAATTTCTCAAAATGAAAGCAATTTATATCAGTAATAAAGTTTTTGTTTTGGGAGAATACGTCATTCTGTATATTTGATGACAATAACTTATTTGAAGGGGGCCTCGTTAACGAAAAGTGAGTTATTTAAACTTCTTAAATTGAAGTACTAATAAATATCAGTACTAATAAATATCAGTATCATAATGTCAAGATACTTTTGTTATTAATAACAATCCACTATCGTTACTTTAATGTTCCGTGATATCAACAAATTTACCAAGTCTCATAACACTCTTATACCACGAGACATATAAAGAGAACGAGAAGCAGGAGGGAGCATGATAATTCGATTAGATTTGTGGGTCAGGATGATGACAATATGGCAATTAATGCACACACCCATTTAACTAACTCTATAATTAATATTTATTCGTAAAGGTATCACGACTAGACGCGTTACGCTTTTTTTATTATCCAAGACTTCAACGATCTAGAAAGGAAATCATTATTTACCTATAACCTAAAACAAAAATCCCTAGATCTAATGTCGCCATGTAGTCACTCTCTAGACCAATTAAGAACAACTCCACATGATTAACATATTTAATTCTTCCGGCATTGACAAGCAGACACGGCATATCGAGTATCACGAGCGAAATTTACAAGAAATATAACTAATTACCTGGGCGATATGTCGCAGCCCTGCTGCATGAAAGCTGCCAGAGCGAACCACAGGCTGTTGATAATACTGAAATCGTTCGCCATACTGGAGGTTGGTAGGTGCGGCGATCCTTGGGATCCATGAGGATGCTGTAACGTGGAGTCACTTCTTGCGGACACTGTAGGATCGCCGCCACTACTAAGCGTTAACACCCTCCATTCATATGGGGAAAATCTGCAAAGAATTACACAATAAATATTACATATTTTTAAAGCTGCAATGCACATATAATGGTATGTTTCTTATAAAATGAAACATGTTTCACCATATCAACACTTTCTATTCAGACTTTTGACGTTTCAATACTATAGTGAATATTATTATAGTAATTCAGCAGAGTTTTATTGCTCTATTATAGATCAAAATGAATTGCGGTAAGAACTTCTAAAACCACGTAGTAATATGATAAAATATAATTGTATATGCAATAAATAGCCCTGTATTATAAGTATAGAAAGAAATGAAGTTGGATAAAGAGAAAAAGTAATTAAGAGGACACTAACTATTGAAGGTTAAATAGGTATTGACGCTCTAAATGGCATTTAGTAATTTGACCTTGAATGTCTATTAAACGTTTAATATGACATTAACAACTCATTACTTCGATCGAAAGTACTCTTTTCAAAGTAAGTTACAAATGTCAAAACTGTATAGTTCGAAAATGACATTTAGTTTTTAACAACTTAATAGAAAATCAGTTATCTATTGTTCACATCTGTTGATAATCATTTACTTTTCAAAACGATATTTTAGGTTATGTTTGGAGACTGTCAAAATCACTACAGTTTATAAGGTTATTAATAAGTGAGTGATTGTGGTCACTGTATAGTCGAGGCCAAAGAAGACCATAACTATAAAATGACGAATTTCGGTCTTGTTTGTGCATATTCCCCTCGGTTACCTTAATTACCAACGTCATAAACAATTGTGCATCACTATGCCTTGTGTAGCATCATACATCGAGCGACTACGAAATAGAAACTTGTCAATTCATAAGTATTCATGTCTTGAAAAATACTTCATTATGTCGCCCGGTGTATGACAATTTCTATCGCCCATGGTACAGAAAGCAGCAAAGGGGGCGATCGAGGATTCGGGCGACCTCTCGTGCTCATTCTAGATGTGCGAAACAGTTGTGGTCTTACTTGGCGTTTACTATACATCAAACGCGAAGCACATAATTGTCTGAGTATGTACCAACCGAATCCACCTTGATGGTTACCAAGCAAAGTAATTCCAGAGAAATGTTTACCTGGACACGGTAAATAGTACAATGGAGACGCCGATGTATGAAAAGATCACGCACACCCATATCTCCTTGCTTAAAGGATTTAAAAAGCTGAATACACCAGGCTTCTGTTTCATCGGCTTTTTTATCATGATGCTTATGCCAAGGGACATGAAGGGCTTGCTAAAGTCGATCACTCGTTCGCGTTCGGATGTGATTGTCATAGGAGCAATGGCGATGTCTGCTTCCTGTAAAAACATCACAATCATCAGTGTCAACGATTCAACCTCACAAAGAACCGACAATAACCAGTTTAATCTTTTATGCATTTACAGCGCGCATGAATGTCCAAATCTTGCTTGAAATAAAAATGTCTGACGAAGCTTTCATTTCATTTCAAACATAGAAATCTATACATTGGTGATAACAAACATTAATAACATTAGTAAAATGCATGTCCCATAAGTTATTTACTTCTGTAGATCTACACTATTCATTTTTTTAACCTCTGCTATTCGGTACAACTTTGAAGTCAGACACCAGTTTTACCTTTGAACATGTCTTTTTCCATAGCTGATCAATGTAACTTGAAAATTGCAATATGACTGCACATTTGCAAATGCTCTACTGCTTGGTATAACCTTAGAGTCAAATATCTATTTAGAAAAAGATTTAATATTTAAGTTCCATATATTCAACTGGTAGGAGTAAACAGTATATACAGATAAAAAAATTTTAGAATAACAAAAATTAATTTAGTTTATGCAGGGTAATTTATTCGGTCGAATATTCAGAAGCAAATAAATTAGAATTTTGTATTATTTTCGAGATTCATCCACCAAATATAGTTTAAAATAAACGAAACAAGATACAAAAGCTTGTAAGCTCGAGCCATCTGGTGGGCAAGATTCGAACTTTACACCGAAAGATAAAACAACTCGTTCAGCGTCTGCTTCGAGATGCACGATCAATAGCTGAATTTTTCGTAACTGGCGAAATCGTTTGAGCCGGCGAATTGTACTTCGCAAGAGAAAAAGAAATGTTCAAACATACTTTGCGGATCAGTTCCCCGACCATTCCGTCCCAGCCACCAGGAACGTCCGCGTTTTCCATGCCGTATTTGCCATCTTTCACGATACGCAGCTCGTCTGTAAAATTCAATAGAAAAAATAATTGTATTATTTGTCAGTGATTAGTCGACCAAATCCAATAGAAGATTCTTTATGTTCTTGCACTATTAAGGGCGGGCACAAACCTATTCTGACCTAACAGAAGAAATGCAAGTTTATCTTTTATAAATCGTTAAATTATTGACAATAATGTCTTCACTACACTCTGACCTAACACAGAAGAAATGCAAGTTTATCTTTTATAAATCGTTAAATTATTGACAATAATGTCTTCACTACGAAATCATTTTTCATCGGAATATTGTGGTACCTACTATTTGTTTTTTCATAAAATTCTAGGATTTTTTTAGTGGTACAATAATAGTCATGTACCTCTAATATTTATCTTTATTTTTAAGAACATTGTTGGCTGCTATTCTTCACAAGATAATGTAATGTGCAAAATTTGTTGAGGTTCAGATTTCCTTTTTCCTGCTGTCATAAAATTCCCATTACTGTTGCCCTTAATGTGCCTAGAAGATTTAAGCACGTGAATATAAGTCCTATAACTGACAGGCATATAAAGTTATACGAAAATGCGTAATACAATAGCCGAGGTCCAATTAACTCTTGTTATGATACCTAAACTCGAGAGTACGAACATACGTAGTACACTAAAATTAATTATGAGTCTAAAAGTTAGAACAAACCGTAAAGAATAAAATCCTTCAAGAGAACGTTTCATACATAATAACTAGACCAGGAATTATAATATATCAGGCGAAATATGACATGTATAAATTATTGAAGACAAAGTATTAAAATATTTCAACATATAGATGTTCTATAGTTATATTATTAATTTTCACTTTAATGACGCTTTTTAATCTAAAATCCTTACGGAAGGTGGTAAGTACTGTTATATAAAAATTTTACTAATATATGACTAGTAGTAGTAATGTAAAATGAAAGTTTTAATTGAACGTTACAATTGAATCTATACTAATTCTCTGTTTTTTATTGTAGTACTTACACGTTATTCCCAGCTTCTTTGCTATCAGATCAGCCAGATCTTTGCAGTATCCCTCGTAACTATCGTTGCCGACAAGCACTTCCTCTGTTTCTGATTTTTTCTTCATGATGTACGGTTCTTCCTGTGTCGTGAAATTAGGACGCTCGTTAATCTTCTTTCGGTAGAAGTTGAATGTCACGATAATTTGCGGAGAAATTTCTTACCACGATGGTGGTGACAATGTAGGTCTTGTTCTTCTCGATCTCCGCGTGCGGTCGTAGTCGAATGTATTTCGCGGCGATCGCTTGAAACCCGGCTTCGTCTGTCCATTCTGCAACCTTTCAGACACAATGGTGAATTATCGACTGATTAAGAAACATTCATGAATTAGAAACTGGGGTACAGTTTCATTAATCATTTTAATTGAAAAGATTAAAGAGTTTACAAATGAGACAGAATTGAAATATGTACATTGTACACAGTGTTTCAAATTTCAATGTACTTTGTACAAATACATTCTAGCTGAGAATAAAAAATAGTCTACTTGTAATATTGCCTTGACAAAAAATTATAGTGTGTACATTGATGATGAAAGCAGTATCGGGATCAATATCAAACGGACTACAGTTATACCGACTATTAATTACCCCATTTTGCAATATGGCATTATCTACCAAACTATTTTACAAACGCTTGAATATAAACTATATAATAAAAAAGAATGTATAAGGCTAGAACATACATGTAAAAAATGTTCTTTAGGTAATTATGCACTTTGGTAAGTTAATAATACAGCAAAATTTTTATTAATTTTTGTTACTGTAGTTATTTTATTATATTCTCACATTTAAATGCATTGTAAACTGAACAATCTACAATTTATGATTATCTTCCATGATTTCGAATAGTAATCCTATCTAGATTATAGAGAACAGAATGAGCAAACATCCATTATATCTTTTATGTTATAAAATATCAAACTTTAAATATTTTTTTAAACTCAAAGGTGAAGGGAAGAAAATACTCTTTTCAAATACTATGAGACAAAATATTTACTTTAACCATGGCACTGTTGACCGTCATCTCAACGACATGGAGGGTGTAATTGTGCCGGCGACCGTCATCGTTGAAGCGGATCTCTCCGGTTAATCCCTCGATTTCGACCTGATAATAAAACAGAAAACTCTGTCAGTTTGAAATATTATGCAGCGCATCAGAATTTTTAAACAAAATATCATACGTAATTCCCTGAACTGTGATTTCTAATCAAAGAAAATGAATATATTTTTCGTGGTTTTTTAGAGCATTTCGACTTCAGGTTTAGGTTTCTGCCACCATAATTTGTTTTTGCAATTTATATACTGAGTATCGTGTGTCAATTATATTTCGTGCACTAATATTAATACCTACTCGGCTAGATTTGATAAATTTTTAAAAATCTTAGAAAATTAAAAAACTACACTATTCTATTACTGTTCATGATTATCCTTCAATATCTTACACAATTGTCAATTTCATGAAATGTTGAAAAATATTTTTAATTTAATATATAACGTTACTTTTTTATGTAGAGCATTGTGCATTGCTCATTTGGTATATATAATAATCAAATATATACAGAATATATTAAATGATTCCTTTGATTCCGACAGTTACATTATAAATGTTACACTGTTAAAAAATGATAAATGTTATTAGTAGATGTAAATTAATATTTACATTACAAGGTATTGCCACCCATATCGATAAGAGAGTTTTCTGTGTAAAGTGAAAATTAATTTGTTATCTAAATTGTGAAAATTCTGGGCTTTTGCAAAATACCTCTTGATTCATTTTACAAAGTACCGATTGGAAATTGCTTTTAACGTACACTATATCTAATAGTAACTCATACAATGAGTAACTAAAAGTAACTCATTATCCACGTTAAATTCAATTCACTGAAAAATCTGTTCAACCTTTCAAAAGAACTAATTTTCTTCAGAATAAGCACTACAAACCAAACAAAGTTGATAATCATTTATTGAAAATTCTGAAAGTGAAGTATAAAATGAAAAAGAAGCAAACAGTATGAGTAGTAGTGTATAAATAAATCTATCTAAATGTATGATTACATCATGTACGATATAGTGTAAATCCTCAAGGAATAATTCTGAAGAATAAATAAATTTTAAATACAGCAAATTTAAAGTTTTAAACCCTACTCTTAAATGGTCACTTGAAGCTTTTCAGCTGCTATCGTTAAAAAGCTATTTACCTCTCATTAAAATTAATATTCCAAAACTTAGTTTTTCACCAACATTTGCTTCTCCATAGGAAAAAAGAAAATTGCTTCTCAGACCGGTAACAATTTTCCTGATATCGACAGGTTTCTCACATTTGACCCTGTCAGGCAACGAACCGTCAAAGAGTTGCAAAGGGTTGGAGGACTTCCGGTTTAACTCCACTATACATATGTATATGAAGTTGATCAGGGGTGGGAAACGATCTGACGTAGAAGCAGGAATTCCGTTAGAGTCGGAATAACCACCAATTACTGTCAGCAGCAGAGAGACGTCGGGAAGCATCCCAGGCAATTTCGGTTGCCACGGTATTCGAAACATATTGACTATTTCTGCGTTTCGGTACCGCGCTTCAAGAATTTCGAGATGAATCACCGGCCGAACTGTGCAGCTTTGTCAACCCTTGTGACGTCGACAATATTATGTCCACGCGATTAAATGGTAATTTTGATCGGAACAATGATGATAACAATTTATTGCGTATATGTGCAAGATCTATTGGGATACTAATTAAATGCTGGTAACAGACCATACATAATAATATAATTGCAACAAATACTGTTTAAACAAAGAATAGAAGCTACGAAGTGTAAAAGAATAAAAAATGAACGCCGTTAACAGTTGTTCTTCAAATAATAATTATTGATTACCTTAAAATGCAGAAATGATTTCTTATATTGTAGATAATAATCAGTTTTAAATGAATCTTTCAAACGATCGATGACTGTTTGTTACATTCAGACATTTTCGTCCAAATGAATCATGGCACCTTAACAGTGAATTTTTAAAAATAATTCTACCCTGATTTCACTCAGCACAGTCACTTCCACGAGTTCTTCGTAAATTTTTGTGCGTGTCTAAACAGTCTTCTTAGAAATCAGTACCAGAAGTATCAGTTGTACCAAATTGCCTCTACTGTAATTAGTATAACAGAATTGACAGCTGATTCATCATTTCTAATTTTTTAAAGTAATTCTGAAAAATATTTGAGACATGTTCAGGATCACTATTTCACTTAAAAATAGTTTACGTAGAAGTAGACTAGTACAATTTCCTCATGATATTTCTGTTTCGATTTCCAAGTTTCTCAAAACAATCAAAATCACTATCTTAACTAAAAATAGAATATATTAATGCAATTTCTTCAAGACATTTCAGTTTCGATTTTTTTACTAAAAATAGATTTTTACCTTAATTAAAAATAAAATAAATTACTGAAATTTCTTCAAGACATTTCTGTTTCAATTTCTATCTTTCTCAAAGCAATCAAGTGTCCGACGACTTATAGACAATAGCATATATTTATATATAAGTTCGTTGAAGGAACTACGCACCTTTCTGAGGAATTTCGAAATTTTGTCGCCATATTCGAACGGCGTTACCCAGCCACGACTATTATTGCAATCCAGGGCCCGTGTACCGTTCGTAATCTGGCTGCTTCCAGGGATTCCAGTCCGTCTTACGTTGCTTCTGTCCGGCTTTTTTCTCAGAAACTTGTTGAACGCCTCGACGAGAACGAATACGGCGTCGTACATCAGCGCCGCTTGTGCCTAATGCGAGGAAGATTGCTGGATGAGTATTCGAGTCCTCGGTTCCGCTGATGATTTTCGTGTCAGGGGAATGGAAAAATAAAGTTACACCATTTCCAACATTTTCCACCGAGCAATCATGCACACGACCCAAATTCAATTTAAATTTAAATTATTTAGCATGAAATTTCATACGAACCCTACTTTATTTAGTAATTATGGGAAGGAAACAAGAATCAAAGAGGTAATTAAATGTTTTCAAGTATGCTGTGAGATAACAGGTTTGGAATTTTGGAAGAGTATGTTTGGAACCTTAAGTTCACCAGATGAAGTCGTCTATTTTATTCAAAAGTATTTCGACCAGGTCGTGAATATACTCGCTTAATATTGTATACAAATTTCCTATTTTTCTCGGACACAAAGACCAATGCTACTATATCTAGAACACAATCTATATACATAGATCTGTATTTCTTCCAGTCAGCCAATGCTTTGAGACCGTTTTTTATTTTTACATGGTAGTTTTGCCTCTTCGATACAGATATCTACTCCTATCCCTAACAATTGTGACCTTTTTTCGCATATAAATGATATTTCATTACTTGAAAACTGTACGTACTACTGTGGGGTATTCGGTTTCAAAGAACGGCACATTCACGGATAATTGTAAACCAACCTGAAATAGTTCAGTGAAAATTAATACTAGATACATATACATTTTGCTGCCGCTCGCACTCGTACTTTGCACGCCTCACCTTCTGTGATTCTTCGTCAGCCTTCTCACTCACGCACATAATCCGAAGGTCCCTTCGGGAACCTTCGCCCGTGCGTTCGGCACGCCCCCTCCCCCCTTCCAACACACTACAGATTACAAGGAGACTTCGAGAGACCCAGCTATACCTCACCGTGTATGGCCTGCATTAGATACTTCTAAATCGTAAATTCATCCGTATAAAAATATAATACAATATGAAGAAAAAAAATGTTATTCTCTTCGTTAGATAATATTTCCCACGTGAATGTTCAAGGAAAAATCAGGGAATGCCTATTTTTAATGATTTTACGGTGCATAACACATTTGCTTTGAGGGAACTGGGATCACAGAACAGAAATGTTAACAAATGATAAGGTTAAAAATTTGGTGTACTGGTTGAAAACACATTTATATCTTTTGAAGTTTGTATTACATTTAAAACATTATATTTAAAATGTAATACAAATACATATTAACACTCATCTGTCCTTTGTGTCAATTTGACACATCTTTTTCTTCTAAGAAATTACGTTATTCTGTTATGTACATGCAAATGTACTGAGGCTTCCAGACTTTTGTTTTAAAGTATTTGCAAATTTAACTATTTATCTCCTCATTATATTAAATTTTTACCACTGTGTCAGTTTGACACCGGGGAAAAAACTAAGTTGAGAAAATGAGGGACGCATGATAGTTAATATTTTTTAATATCTAATTAGAGTATAGACTTCATATTATGAACAGTACAGTTAAATACATTGAACCTTTCTTTTTACTCGTGGAGCAATGTATTTAACAATTAATTCTCTCCATAAAGATGTTTCGTGATATAACGGGTCGATGATTCCACCGACAATCTTCCACGTTGAACTCCAAAGTACCAAAACCAGAAATTCCATTAATTGTCCCCGAAGTAACAAGGACCCCACCGCAAATGCCTCGCGTCGTTCGGTTGCGAAGTAATTCAGCGATCGTCAAGGATCGATTTGCGATCGAGATAACACAGAACTGAATTAATTACAGGATGGAATGCGCAAATTCGTCAAATCGAATCCCGTTTTCGAGTGTCGACGAGCCGTATCCGTCGAGCTACCTCGGGATAAAAGTTGCGAAGCGGAACGGCCGCATCGGCGCGAAGAGTGGGACAGAAACCGTCCGAGCAAGTTCCACCGATTACGAAGTTACTCGAACGCGAACGGTCGTTCGTAATCGTCGTAACAATTGAAATTATGCGGCTTACACTGAGACCCTCCCCGCAGGCGAGAACGCGACGAAGTTTCACTTCGACGACGCGTCGCTTCCGGGCGCTGCAGTGGTTAAGCTGACTCGCCCTGGGGATAGAAAACAATTTATCGTCGTTTCGGGGACGTACGCAGATTCATGGTTACAGGGGTATACATGTTTTTTTATAATTAAAGTCAAGTGCGAATGTTAAAAAAGGAAACTTAACGGACCGTGGTAGATCATAACAAATCGTGTAAAAATAGAATTAAGTGTAATGATTCCGTTAAAGAACAGTCGTGTTCCCCACTATTTTTAGGTACACCCTTTAAAACGGAACAACTCTTTTAAAATTGGTCCAAGTGACTTGAGCTTTTTTGTGAAGTTAAGACATTAATTTACTAAATGATGTGAAAAAAAAATTTGAAAAAGTTGCAATTGGTCCGAATCGCGAAGAAAATATTAAAGGTCGTGTTTTACTTTTTAATCTGAGGCTATAATGAAAATTTAATAAATACGTATCGCAGATTTATGTTAGTTATGTACATACTGAAACTTTCATTGAAATCGGTTAATACAGAAACGAGCGACAGGCATTAAAAGATGTGAGAATCGTTAGATTTACTAGTTGTAGATCGAAAGTCAGGAAAAACTGCGATTTTCAACATTTTTAATCGTTTGTATCTCGTAGCAACGTTAACCGATTTTGATGAAATTTTCAACATGTATATAACTAACATAAATCTTCGATACGTATTTATTAAATTTTTATCATAGCCTCAGATTAAAAAGTTTCGGACCAATTGCAACTTTTTCAGATTTTTTTTTCACATCATTTAGTAAATTAATGTCTCTAACTTCACAAAAAAACTGGAGTCATTTGGACCAATTTTAAAAGAGTTGTTCCGTTTTAAAGGGTGTACGAATACTTTTGACACTCACTGTAAATACTGACTTTATATACATATAAATATAACAACACTGAATTATATGTTTATAGTTATATGTTGTTCATTTCAACTCTAGAATAATATCTAAATTCCCAGCTAGAAGTGAACCCACAAAGGCACACTTTCCCGCTCGAAGTGTGCTGAATTCTTAAAGTTAGGAGGCCCATATTAACAATCCTAGTGGCTCCCTGAGATGAAATAGGTTCAGGTTCGTCCACACAAATTTTTCCTAGTGGCTCCCTGTGATGAAATAGATACCAGTTCGTCCACGACGTCTAAACCATCCTAATAGCTCCCTGAGATGAAATAGGCTCAGGCTCGTACAGGACAACCAATCCTAGTGGCTGCCTGTGATGAAATAGACACAAATCCGTCCACATAACAAACTCAAACCAAACACGCCATGCCTCGACTTTTGCGCTTAACCCTGGCTCGTAAAAATTTCCACCAACAATAGTACAATATTATTTCTGTTTCACTCTTCAACAGTTTTCCATTTCACAGATCATCCTCAACGACCCAAAGAACAGAAATACCCGACTCCAGGGCGAAATCTGAGTAGCACTCGTGTCACTCGCCCACCCCTTTTAATATCTCCGTACTGTTAACCCACGCGGACTCGTATTACAGACCTCAGTTTGTTTTTCCCTTCCTGGTTCGTGGCTTTGAGCTCCTGTTCGCGAGTTCGACACTTGACTGCGTCAGATATCCGAAAAGGCTGACGCACTTAAGGGGTCATGCTCAGTCAGAAATTTTCAAAAAATCGAGTTTTCACTTTCTACATTTTCTTGAAGAACATCTCGAGAATATTCTGTGCAAGTTTCAAAGTAAGTCAATTAAAAATGACAGAGTTAGAGGCGTTAAAAGAAGAACATTTTACATAAGTGTAAGCTTGACTTGAAATTTTAAACGTAATTTTTCAAATCTGTGATCAATATTTCTCGAAAACTGCTGTGTCGATTTACATGAAACCTTTTGCGCCTTATTTCCAATCAGAAAAACTTGTCCTTGAACGAAGGATTTTTTTTTCGTTTCATACTTTTTTTTAATTGACCAAAAACGAGTGATTTTTAGGTGAAAATCGCACTTTTTCGGTAAAATGTTCGCCATTTTGTTCCTAATCAATATTTCAAAAAACCCCACGTTCAAGAACAAGATTGATTATTCCATTACATAAATCTTACTGAATTTTTAATTTCAGATGAACCGTTACGAAGTTACAGTGATCACAGCAGACCACTTTTTGTGAAGAGACATCCGGGAGATCGCTCACCATTTATTTACTAATAAATATTTTTAAATAAAAAAAATTACCTTATAATCTAGAAACTGCAGTCTTTCAAACGCAAACACATTTTTTGAAAAAGGTCTTATAGTTTTCAAGAAAAAAATTCCTAAATAACACTCTTTTCTCGGCCTCCTGACTGAGCATGACCCCTTAAGCCGGACAATTGGAGCGCGCCGAGTGGCGGTGGCGCTCAACGTTTCGCACGAGGCTCGACAGTTCGTGGTGTTCTTTTGGTAAGATGACGTATACACGGTGACGTGGATAAACCATGGTGAACGAAAAATGATTTTGACGAAAATAGGGAGGAAGGTTGAATAATATCCCTATCGGCGAGAGTCGTCGAGAAGGGAGACGATGAGGATAACAGGGGAGGCGATTTTTCCACGAGAAAATTCGACGTATGGAGGACCCTATCGAGGACATTTCGTGCGGGAAGAAGGGTGGAACAGGGAACCATACGTACGGAAATAGATTCGCGGCCGGCTCCTTGAGACGTCGCCGGATCGAGACGATGCCAGCCGGCCAGGAAGTCTTTGACGTAGGGTCGAGTGGCGTCCACGATGCGAAAACCGGTGATGTTGATGGCCCCGTATTCGATCACCTCGCTCTCCCATCGGTCGTCCATTATCTGATTACACGAAAAGGGGCGTGCTTGTACCACTGTCACAGAAAATATACAAAAGCATGCGGTGGTTGGGCAGGAGGGGGGGGGAAGAGCTCGTGGTAGTTTGTAGGTACGAGCGGTTCTGTACGTGTGCCAAAAAGATTCCGTTTTTCCGGGATCACTCGATCTGACCCGATCTCGAGTCGCGAAACGAGTAGTCCGTCAGACCGCTACAAACGAGCTCTTTGATTCCGAACGCGTACTTTGGCGAGACAATAGAATAGAACAAATGGATAAAGATTAAGGAAAGTAAATTGTGTAGAAAGGAAAAGGATGTGAATTGTATGGAAAGTGAACAAAAAGTGAAGTGCATAGGGGTGTGAATATAAATGGATCAGGGGTTGTCTTGAAGTTACTTTCATCTGTGTGTTACAAAATCTGTGACTAAGAAAATCGCTGCATGTCAGAATTTCGAAAAATTTGAACTTATCTATTAATTAAGTTGTAGAATATAGGACAATGTATTTTGTCATATTTGACATACGTATTTGTCAAAAAAAGATGTATGAAAACACATTTTGTATATTCAAAAATATAATGTTATTTAATCGACGTTCAATATTCCATTCTTACTATAACTTATTTTGTGTAGAATAAAATGAATAAAATCATTTTCCATATTTTTATTTTACCAGAAATAGCACACTATTACATAGGAATGATACATGTGTACGTAACTTGGATTTTACAAAAGCTACGCAATATACAGAAGAGTATTGTGCAAAGTGAAGGAAATATACATTTATTTCGCGACAAGAAAACAAAAACACATTTCTAATGAAGAGGAGTGGTGTTCAGAACTTTAAACGACAATATCTTAAAAGTAAAATCATGTGATATTCGGCGTTTTGCTAATAATCACAGAAATGTGGTGGGATTTCGTTACTAGCAACAAGTTATTGAAAGAGAATTTTACAGTTTTGATATATAACATACAGAAAGCTGTTTATATTAATACTTTTCGATTCAATCTTTTGGTTACTAAATCTAATTTAAAAAGGGAATGATATTCTGCAGTGTAATTTATAAGAAGATAGTAATTAAAATATGAAACTACAGAATTAAATGTACGGACTGCAGATGTTTTCGTATTTTTGTGATGTTCTATAATAGAAGTAATTCATATATTTGGAAAAACATAAGCGATCTTATGATTTTTACGTAACTTATGATTCTTAAAATTCTTATGATACATAAGAACTTTTTTTCTTTGCAGTGTTCTGAGCGTATTGGAGTGTCATTGGTTGTCTCTGGTGTGTAAAAGTGAAGCATGTTGTCAAAATCAATCAAGTTCGAGGATTTCATTCACTCGACAAGCACTTACCAGGCCACTCAATAAATAGTGATACGTTCTTTTTCCGAGCGCGACATCCCTCACGTGGCTCACCACGATATCCTTCGCCATGTCCGTGGGACAGTCGAGTACCACGTACTTATTGCTCCATCTGAAAATTTTTATAATTCATTTATCCATAATTAATTCTCCATTAATATCTAAATCATTTTCTTCAACAACAATATAATGTTAGAGTATATTATGTCCTGCAGAAACTGCTTGCGATTTTTTTCATCAAATATTTTTCAGTATCTTATATGTAAATACCTTAGGTAATCCAATACATTGCAACAACAAATTCGGCGTTTATTCAATTCTCAGGTAATGTGACTGATTGAAACTAATTAAGTACTGAATATGACATAGAACGAATTAAATGTTTCTTTTAAATGAGAATTCCACAATTTGTTGCTATAAGTGTAGAAACATAATCAAAAAGTAAAAATAACAGACTCAAATCCACGATAAATATAAGGGGAAGTTGTACCCCGTTATTGTAAGGTATAGATTTAGTTCATGAAAGAAACCAAACGTATGTCACTGATTATTTCAGAAGAAAAACAATTAAACTTTACGAAAAGGTCATGTCTGACTCAAACAGAGGTTCAGACGAGATTGTTGAATGGAATGGAAACCATTTTGGTAATTAAAATCCTTCATAAATGCGCATGGTAGGTATTTGGAACAATTCAAAAAGAAGAAGACTGAACATAATAAAAAAGAAACTCAATTCTTTTGATTTATTTAGTATTTAACATGTCTACTTTTGAAATTTGACAGTATTATGAGTAACGGTATCTGACACTATCTGACACTATCTATTTATAAAGATATCATTCGTCGGTTCTGAACACGCTTTTCTGACGATAAAGTCACGAGACGTGACATTCCGCGACAATTTGCCATAGTTACGTTTTGGTTTCGGTAACTAGACCGTTCATTCAATTCGTGCTCATTGTCGGGGCTGGTTGTTGATTACCCGGGTTGTGGAAATGCAGCCGGCAGTAAATTGCAGCCGAGATACGCGGTCACCATTCCTATCCACCCCTCCGCCGCGAACGTGTGATCCGTCAGATTGTACGAATGCGGACAGAGTTCACCGCCCCAAAAATAATAGCTATGCGTACAACATGGCGTCGAAGCGAGGACGTTTTTCCTCATCGTGTAGAAAAACCCCTTCGACTCGAATAATACCGATAGATACACTTTTACTTCCATCGTTCATCGAATTTCGAGTTTGTTAGAACGACGAATGTGAAGAACATAAACGTTTTCCCTTCGATTCTATTGTGGATGATGTTTTAGCGATAGAAATATTTATAAAACTAGTGGCACATTGTTTCCCGTAGTTGCAGAAGTGTTTATGGGTATTCAGACGTCTGTGCCTTAGTTGACCCTACGTGCTTGTTTATAGTCATTTATACAGTGTAGTTTCATTCATAGGACCCATCTTAAAGGCAGTCCAAATCTATGCAACGCGCATTGCAGAACACACTTGAAAGGGTCGATTGTACTGGCTCGACGCGCAGCTAACGACTTCGTACAACGTCAAGCTGAACACGAGCATTCTGACGCGCATCGTAGAAAATCGTGTGGCGCGTGTAAATTGGTGAACGATCCCTCACTGTCGATGGTACAGGGGCGATATCGTCGGAGCGGAGACGACTGTGTCACCCCCTCCACAATCGACAGTGAGGTCCTGTTGATAGATTTACATGCGTCGACACGGTTTTAATAGCGGAGTTGTTTAGAGGATTATTATAAATATTACTACTTACTTCCATTGTATTAAGTCGGCGTCGAGGCATGTCCCGATCCGACAAGAATTTCATATAATTCTGGATAAACGAAGTATTTTTATAAATCTAACTAAACAGTGGACGAAACGAAATCTTCAAAACGAAGCTTCAGGTAACTAGGTAATTTAATTACCGAAGGAACAGTAAGTAGAGGGAATGACTGCTGCGCCTTTTCTTGCCAATTCTCTACCTGACTGTTCCTACAGTAATAAAATTGACCGACGACCCGAAGTTTTGTGTTAAGAAGTAAGTGCATGAAAATGTGCATTCGAACAAAGCCATGTACACGTAGGTATAGTCACAATGTCATACAGCTAGTGATGGGTAACCGTAAAAAGTAGTAAAATCTTTTACACAAATTCAATGAAATACTTTCAGGTACCCAGTTTAGAGCTATGAAATTAGAATGTTCAAGAAGAGGTAAAGAAGTTTCATATTTGTAATTATTTTATGATACTGTAATAGAAATCGGTATCCTGTGAGAAAAATCGTATTTAACGATATGTAATGAATAACATATACTGGTCTTAGGGATTTATATTCGAGAGCTAATCTTTAAAAGGAACAGGTCGCTTAAACAAATTAGTTAAAAATGATATTTATTTGGGGAATATGAACATCATAAATAAACGAGAGCGGTAGAGCGAGCCGCGGTATCGGTGCTCTCCGTCGGTGTCGACGAGTGTCGAACGGTGCCGAAGATGGCCGGAGGGGTCGAACGGGAGCGAGCGAGAGTGGGAGAGCGAGCCGCGGTATCGGTGCTCTCCGTCGGTGTTGACGCGTGCCGAGGAATTTCGGTGGTCTATGGGGGGACGTGTGCGAGCGAGAGAGTACGGTAGAGCGTGCCGCGGTATCGGTGCTCTCCGTCGGTCCAACGCGGTAGTAAGACGTTGCATCACACAGTTTATTGACCTAGCCGTGTACCATGGCCGTACCTGGCCGTACCATCGTGTGTTTGGGTCGTTCAAGGAGGAAGGTCGTTCAAGCCAGCAAGAACAATTCAACTCGAACGAACGTGACAAAGAAACTAGCTGTTGCGTAATAACCTACGTAGGCCCAATACATCACAGCGTTAGCTTCCTCACTTTCTCGTGAGCCGTCGCGGAGGGTGGGCGCGCATCTCATACTCGTCCTTTCTCTTGTTACTAATCCCTTGTATGTTACAGATGTTCGAGAACCATTGGCTTCGATATTTTTCTTATGTACTGTGATTCATTTACTGTCATTTATTTACTCTGATTTCTATACTGTGATTTATTTACTGTGCATATTATGTATTCTATGTATAATGAAAAATTTTATCATCGATCAACGTTTACATCCTCAAAGCGTCTACCATTGCGTTAAGTTACTGTAAGTTAAACTTAAATCATAATTCGATATTCATTGTTATATTCATATTCATCATCACATCGTTTATTATTGATTTTAGTCTGTCTATTAATAGACTTAAATTATGACCATCCATTGTGCATACCAAGTTATTATTAATTCATTTGGCTCGTTGATTCTCTACACAGACTTGGGGTACGGGCAGTGGGTCTGTAC